CAGGTTTGATTTCGATGATGGAGGCGCCTATTGCGGGGGCTGGGAAGGGGGCAAAGCCCACGGGCACGGCATCTGCACTGGTCCCAAGGGCCAGGGCGAGTATTCGGGCTCCTGGAACTATGGCTTCGAAGTGGTGGGCATATACACATGGCCTAGTGGCAACACCTATGAAGGCTACTGGTCCCAAGGCAAGAGGCATGGCCTAGGAATCGAGACCAAAGGACGGTGGGTTTACAGAGGCGAGTGGACCCATGGCTTTAAGGGACGGTACGGTGCGAGGCAGAGCATGAGCAGTGGAGCCAAGTATGAAGGTACCTGGAATAACGGCCTACAGGATGGCTATGGCACAGAGACATACGCTGATGGAGGTAAGGGTGACTCTGGAGGGGCTGGGAGGGTGATGAACAATGTGATACCCAACATGCAATGGCAGAGGCTGTGTGTTGCCCCTGCTGAAGAGGTGACCTGATCTTGTCCCCAGTTGTGACATTCAGACAGGCACGATGGTCTACAATGAGCCGTTGGGGCGCTTCAAGCAGGAAGCAGGGCTTGAGGGGCAACCACTTTGTAAACATCTGTGTACATCCTGATTTCCATGGTCAGGCACAGCATGCACAGCTTGGCACCTGCAGACACAAGGGAGGAGCAGTGGAAACATTGCCTCTGCCAGCTCTCCTTGTGGAGCTGCTCTCCAGCATCCGTATCAATAGTTGACACCAAATAACTTGGTTTTGTGTAGTCTGTGACTCCCGGTTCACAAGGGACTGGTTATAGCAGTTCATCACCAAACCAGAAAGTCCTCACTAGTGTGCGACTGCAGCGAGCTCTTCACTCACTCACTGGGCAGCGAGTTGTGAATCTTTTCACATCGGATATAAACCACCCACAGCATCATAGTGCGCTTTGCTTATGTATTAAACACTGCTTGCGTGCCACTGATGGGCTGCCTGGACATTTGCTTTGCTGAACTGTTTTGGTTGAGTTCATCTAAGCTGGTTAGAATACCTAGTCACACGCCTTTTCCTAAAATAAATCGCTTCGATTACTTGGAAGCTCTCAACCCCTTCTAGTACACAAATGCACCACGTAGTCAGATATTTGTTGTGCTCTGTAAATGCTCAGTCTAATTGTGTTCTTGCATTAGTGTCAATTTTGAGGTTAGAAACATTGCAAGAATCTCTGTGCAAGTAATTCTGTAGCTCTTCAGTGCGGTAATGTTCCAGGCTGCCATATTTAGGATAGCTAAATAGAGAGAGTGATTTGAAAGAAAGACCCTTCAAAACAGGGATCAGAATTGCATCTATATTTATCTAGGACAGGCAATAGAGTTAGTTTGTAAAGAGAAATAATAGTAATAGCATAGATCTTCAGAATGAGAAGTATTGCTTGGTGGACGAGGGGAAGGCTGTGGACAGTGTCTACCTGGACTTTAGTAAGGCCTTTGACACTGTCTCCCACAGCATCCTCCTGGAGAAGCTGCTGGGCATGCCTTGGACGGGCTTTGCTGAGTTAAAAACTGACTGGATGGC